TCTGGTGATTACTCAAGGTCTTCACACTTAGCTACATCCCCAGCCCCTTTTTTATTTTTTATCTTGAGGCAGGGTCTCAATAAGTTGCCCAGCTAGGTTCAAACTTGCAATCTTCCTGACATGTGGTACTTTTGCTTTGGTTTCTGGGGAGAAGGTGTTAGTGATGAGGCCATGGCTCCTGTTCTGTGATTTATGTTTTCTTTTTTTGGTACCGGAGATCAAACTCGGGTCCTTGCACTTGCAAGGCAGGTGGTGGGACCACTGAGCTAAATCCCTGGCCCTGATTTATGTTTTCTTAGTGGTGACTTTTGATGTTTAAATGTATGTAGTCCAGTTGGTCAATTTTTTTCTTTTTTTTGCTCTTATTTTGTGTGTGTGTGTGTATACATGAACACTGGGGATAGAACTGTAGGTGAATACTCTCACTGAACTACATCCCACCCCTTATTTTTTATTTTGAGACAGTGTCTCACTAAGTTGCCTCGAACTTTTGATCCTCCTGCCTCAGCCTCCCAGGTAGCTGGTATTAAAGACACACACCACTAACACACCCTCATGACCTCCTCTTACCTTGACCATCTGTAAAGACCCTATTTCCAAACAAGGTCACACTTAGAGTTGCTAGGGGTTAAGACATCACCATCTTTAGGGGGCAGTATCCAACCCATCACACCAGAAAGAGAGGTGACTCCCAGTCCACACAGACTACCATGGCCTCAGTGGACAGCTCAGTTCTTGTGACCTGTGCATCATGGTGATGTGGGGTAGCCCCAGTTGGTGTCTCTGCCCTGGGGGGTTCTGCGTTTATCCAGTAAGCGAGCACTTGCTTATTGTGGGGCTAGAGTTCAGACTCACTCCTTCAAGCCCCGCAGGAATGGGGTACAAGCCTGGTAGCACAGCTGCCTGGGGTGGGTGCTGTTCTTGGTCCTCGATGTCACCCCACGCCTGTTCCCCTCCTGCAGGGGCCTGCCCACAGACCGGTACATGTGGAGCGACGCCTCAGGGCTGCAGGAGTGCACCAAGGCCAGCACAAAGCCCCCATCCCTACAGTGGACCTGGGTGAGCCCCACCATCCTGTGGTACTGCCCTGTCGTTCCCAGGTTTCTGTCTGTTCTGGGGAGACAGGGTCCCCGTTCTCACGGACTTACCTCTCCCCAGGTTTCAGACTGGTACGTGGACTTCAGCGTTCCTGGCGGCACAGACCAGGAAGGGTGGCAGTACGCCAGTGACTTTCCTGCGTGAGTGTCTCTCTCTGCCTCTGCTTCATGGGCCAGGTCCCCAAGCACTGGGATCCTGGGCCCTGTGACCCCTCAACCCCCATCTCAGCTGCTGCAAGGCTAAGTCCAGTGGTGATGAGTAGGAGGCTGGGGGGCTGGGTGAACAGGCATAGGTGGGATCATGTGGATCCCTCAGCACCAGCTTTGTTCCTATTGTTCCAGGCCCAAAGGTTCTGGAAGGTTCTGGAAAGATGTGGAAGAATCTGATGTCCTGGGCTGAGGGCTCAAGTAGGGTGAGGGCATCTGAACTGGGGGATCTGGGGGTTTTGGGCCAAGTCCTGAATGACCAGCAGTGGGGGCAGCCCAAAGGAGGGTGTCAGGAGAAGGGGCAGCACAGGGCTCTTGGAGCGAGGCTGGCACCATCCTGAGAGGCTAGATGTGTGGGTGCAAAGATGGGTCAGTGGACAACAAACCAGTGTCAAGGGCTGCTTGGCTTGCTCAGCCCCACATGAATGTTGTCCTGTGAGAAGAGCTGAGCCAGGTGGACCTGATCTGGGGCCCAAGTGGGTGGCTTCCCAGCAGGCCCAGCAAGGAGGCAGAGGCCAGTCCCTCAGCCTCAGACTGTCAGCTCACCGAGGCCTCCTGTTCCCCCAAAAGGCTCTGACAGGTTCTGTGGAGGGAAGGGCACCCAGAGCTCCTGAGCTGGACCCTCTCCATGTCCAGGCCCCAGGGAGGCTATGGCTGCCAGGTCCCTGTGTTATAGGCAGTTTCTTTAGAAAGGGCTCACCAATCAAAAGTATTCCATGTCCTTCTTGCTCCAAACAAAGAATAAGACAGGATAAGCCTAAAAGTGCCAAACGTTTATTTGAAAAGTACAGGATAACTGGGTATGGGAGAAACTAGCTCTTCAGAGTGAACTTGGGCCAAACAAGGAGAGAAAGAGGGTAAAAGTAAAAATAAAAGTACATGCCACGGCTGAGAAACGCCACTCAGGCTACCATGGAAACTCAGGTGGACATCAGCTCCCCAAGGCATCCCATCTTCTTTTACGCTGTACACATCTCAGGGAGCTCGGGAGAAGTCCTACATATAGGTCCTTGCGTTGCCCTGGGATCTTGTGATTAACAGGTCCCACTCATTCCCCAGCCAGCTTTGCCACCACCTGATCTCCTACATCACCTGGAGCCTGCATTTCAGCCCTGACCCTGCTGAGATAGTAGGAGGTGTCTGAGCGAGCGTTGTGTATCGTGGCATCTATACAATATGGTGGAAAACAGCAGTGAACGTTTCATTTTTGTTTTTTGGCACCAGGTATTGAACTTGGGTCCTTGCACTTGCAAGGCAGGCGGCAGAACCACTGAGCTAAATCCCTGGCCCTGAATGTTTAATTTTTTAAAAATTCATTGCACTAAAAGACACATTGCTATGAGCCCCCAGCTCCTAACCCTTCCCCTCTCTTTAAACACACCCTATTGTTCCTGCCATTCTGAAGTAGCTCTGGAAGTCTTCTTTTATGTCTTTAGTTGTACTGCTGTGAATGCCTTGATGTCCTGAATCGATTCAAACATTTCCCTTTCTTGGTCATTTTGAATTTGGGAAAGAGCCTGAAGTCTTATGGTGCCAGATCCTCCAACGCTGGTGTGAGCCTGCCTTTCTGTTGGATGGTACTCAGCTCAGCATTCACCCTAGTTTTGATCGGATCTTGTAAAGACACTCATGGAAGAGGACTTCCAGAACTGCTTCAGGAAGTGACAAGAACAACAGGATAAGTGTTGGAAGGAGGGGGATTGATGGAAATGTGTCTTTTACTGTAACACATTTTTAAAGTTTAAGCATTTTCCATATAGGTTGGTCATGCCTTGAACTCCTTCAACCCCATGGCCCACACTAAGGCTCTGCCCTGTAGCAATTGGGAAAAGAATGTACACAATGTCACTTTCCAGAGGCTTCCAGGAAGTGGTCTTGATTTCACCTCCTCTTCCTCTTGCAGTTCATATCACGGGTACAAAACCATGAAGGATTTTGTCAGGAGGAGGTGCTGGGCCAGGTGAGATGCAGTCACAGGGTGCCAGGGTCAGGCCCTGTTCAGCCAGGGCCACCCAGTGAGCCGCCGCCCCAGTGGAGGAACCATGGCTCCTCTGGCCAGACCTGCCAGCCCCTGACCTCAGTCCCAAAGGAAGAAATGAGAGGGCGGGAAAGCAGAGTCAAAGTAAATGTCAGCCCAGGAAATGCCTGCGGCTCCCGGCGCTCCGGTTTCTGAAGAGTTTGTTTTCAAGAGCAAATAAGACAAATGTCACTGGCAGGTTTTGCTTTGGTGGGGGGGTGGAAATGCTGGCTGGGCTGGGGGAGGGAAGGGGGCATTTCTGCTCAGCGGGTGTTCTTGGGGGTTCTGCTGTCCTGCTCCAGCCCGGGCAGGGTTGTCCACCCCAGCTCCTATGAACTTGGAGCTCTGGGCAGTGACAGCCCCTAAGGTTTGAGGTCACCCTGATCCCTGGCCTTGTATTGCTTTTTCCCATATAGAAAATGCAAGCTGGTGACCAGTGGGCCCTGGCTGGAGGTGGCCCCCATCACCCTTGGGGATGTGTCCATCATCCCAGAGAGCCCAGAGGGAGACGGGCGTGGTTGCAGCATTGCACTCTGGGCCATTAGTGACAAAGGCGATGTACTCTGCCGCCTGGGTGTGTCTGAGCTGAACCCTGCGGTGAGCACCCTCCTCCTGAGCCACCCTGTCCCTCCAGATGCTCCCCAAATCAGGACTCTTACTTTGCAGTGGGCTGGGTTCAGGATTGCCCAGGCTAGGTCCCCAGGATGGGGGATACCTGTCCTGGGCAGGTTGCTGCAAACTCTGAGCAGTTAGTCTATAGGGCAGGTTGGCAGGAAGAGGTAGTCTTCTGGGCCCTGGGGCAGGGGTGGGGGCAGAGGTAGGCCCTGGTGACACAGAGGCTCTTTGGCAATGCTATTCTGAAGCCTGGAGTTTCAGTCACAACCAAGGTCAGGCCGCAGTCAGGACTGAGTCAGGAATGGCTGGGTCGGTGTGATGCCAGGGTCACCCCAGAATGCCATGTGCTTCCCAGAGTTGCCCAGCCTCAGGTGGCTTTGGGCGCTGGACCCTGCACTGAGCCTGGGCCAGGGGCCCTGGTGACTCTGGAGTCACCTCGCCACCCCTCCCCCACCTCCAGGGCTCTTCCTGGCTGCACATCGGCACTGACCAGCCCTTTGCCTCCATTTCCATCGGGGCCTGCTACCAGGTATGGGCCGTGGCCAGGGACGGCTCTGCATTCTACCGGGGCTCTGTGTCCCCCTCCCAGCCAGCTGGTGAGTACCAGGCTGTGGTGGAGGCATTGGTACAAGTCCCTCACACTTAGTACCACCTCTGGAGCAGGTGTAGGACTGAGCCATGGTCACCACCCTTTGCAACTTCCCGCATTCCTAACCAGGCCTCCCCGGCCCACAGTGACCACTTGGGAGGGCAGATCACATTGGCCTGTTCTTTGCAGGGTACACAGATAGCATCCAGCTGGGGGAGGCTGGCCTAGAGTGGACAGATGGGTGGCTGGTGACCAGCACATAGACCCTCTACAACAGTGGGTTTGAAGGGCAGCCACCAAAGGTGGCGCTTGACCGCATTCCAGTCTGGGCATCTTTGTGTCCATGTTGCTGAGGTTGGTCCAGTGGTCCCCATCTTTGGAACCTGCCATGGCCCCTGGAGGGCCCTGGGCCAGGCCGGAGCATTGAGTGGGAGGAGGTCCTGGGCCAGCCTTGCTGGGCCCTTAACTCACCCCAGGCCCTACTGTGTGTCTGTGGTACCTGGGAACCAAGGTACTGCATTGACTCAGCCCACCATGAACTTTGGAGGAGCTGACATGCCCAAGCATCTGGACTGTCAGGTTTGTTGTCCCTTGTGGCCTCCTGAGTCAGCTGTCCTGTCACAGGTGACTGCTGGTACCACATCCCGTCACCCCCCAAGCAGAGGCTGACGCAGGTGTCCGTGGGGCAGACGTCCGTGTATGCACTGGATGAAAATGGCAAGTGTTTTGGCTTTGGTGTGGTGAGTGGGGACAGGGGGTTCCCTGCGTGCCCCGGAGGGATGACAGGCAGGTTCCAGAGAGCCACAGCCTGGTGTGAGGAGGCTGGGGCTGTCTGCCTTTCTGGCCTCTTCCCAAGGCTCCCAGGAGTATCCGGAACTTTCTGTTCTGTGCTCCCTGGGGACACGTGACAGAGCCAGGCAATTGGCCCACGTGTCAGTGTGACCCTCCCAGGTCATGGTGACCATGGAGCCAGGTCACTGAGCTGCAGCCTAGGCCTGGCCCTCAGGAGCTGACAGAACAGCATAGTCTATGTCTCATGTCCACCATGACAGATGTTCTGCCCAGGGTCAGTCTTGGTGCCAGTCTCTCCCCTGAGTTATACAAGGTCGGTAGGCACCAGCCCGCTAGCCAGGCCCTGTTTGGGCAGAAAGCAGAGTGCTGGTCACTTTGTCAGTGGAAGTCCACTGCATGGCAGGTCCTATACTGGGAGTATCTTCTAGGAATTTCCACTCACCTCTGGGATGTAAGACCCCACAGGAAGCACAGGGCTGGCTCTCAGCCATCTCTAACCCCCATATCTTCTTGGACAGGGCTCTGGCGAGCTCCTTTCAAGATTGTGTCATTAAATAGCTAGGTGTAGTGGCGCACACCTGTAATCCCAACACTCAGAAGACTGAGGCAGGAGGATTGCCATGAGTTCAAGACTAACCTGGGCTACATAATGAGCCCAAGACCAGGCTAAACTATATAGCAAGACCCTGTCTCAAAAAAGCAAAAAAAAAAAAAAAAAAGGATTTTTAACATTTAGGAAACTAACCATACAAATGGAGCTAAAACGTCGAGAAAAAGACCCCGCAAAAAAAAAAAAAAAAAAAAAAAAAAAGGATTGTTCCACTTCACGTGGTGCCACACAGCCTATAATCTCAGCACTGTGGCACGAAGATCGAAAGTTCAAGCCCAGCCTAGGCAATTTAGCAAAAGTCTATCTCAGATGAATAAATAAATGGAGGATGGGGATATAGCTCAGTGCAAAATCCCTCAGCTCAGTCCCTGTGGGGGGGGGCATGTCATCGTTGCAGGTGAGATGGCTTGGAAAAGACAGACTTAAGACTTGAAGTCCAGAGTGTTTATTCCAGATCCGGTTCTCTTTTATTTGTTTAAAACCTTCTTTGTCCTCAGTTTCTACCTCAGTAGAAAGAGGCTAACGTCGCCAGCCCTGCACAGCACAATGGGACAATTATGAAGCTCAGGGAAGCCCAGACATAAAAAGGGCAGGGCTGGCTGCAGTCCAGGCTCTCGGCTGCAGGTCGGCAGGAGCCCAGGGGTATGGAAAAGTGGAGGGGGCACTGCCTTGACACACAGCACTCCCATACCCTCACATGGCAAGACGGGCCAGGCTCCTCTGCCATTGACCTTGGCTGCTTCTGTCCCCAGGGAACCTGTGGTACCGAGGGGGAGTCACGCCCAGCTATCCACAGGGCTCCAGCTGGGAGCATGTGTCCAACAATGTGCGCAGAGTGTCCGTGGGGCCCCTGGACCAGGTGGGTAGACAGAGGGTATTGGGTCCCTGGGCTTCCTAGGCCCCCACTGGCCCACCCCTCCTATCCCCATGACCCACTGTGTCTGGGCAGGAGCTTCATTGGGTCTGTGTTCTAGGTCTGGGTCATTGCCAACAAGGTCCAGGGGACCCACGGCCTGAGCCGGGGGACTGTGTGCCGTCGTACTGGTGTGCAGCCTCGAGAACCCAAAGGGCAGGGCTGGGACTACGGCATTGGGGTGAGTGGGCCATGCTGGGGACAGTGTGTGTAGCAGGCCAAGGCAGTACTAGCAGGGGCCTGGCATGGGGGTGTTGGTAGAGGTGCTGGGCACAGCCCTCAAGGTGATACGGCTTTTTCCTTCCAGGGAGGCTGGGACCACATCTCTGTCCGAGCCAATGCCACTAGGGCCTCCTGGAGTGTGTCCTGGGAGCAGGAGGCCCAGGGCCCTGTCTGCTGCTGAGGCTGCCTGTCACCCAGAGGCGGGGGTGGCGCTAGGCTGGAAGGATTCAGGCTGAGCTGTTCTGTGCCGATGTCTCAAAGGCTGACTCGGGGGAGCCTGGCCCAGGTCGTGGCTGACTTCAGAAGCCCTGGCTGAAATGTCCAGAAATGTGAAGCCCCATGGACGAGCCCGCGCATGTCCCACTCTGTGAGGATGCCGGAGAGGGATGGGGGCCGGGGACCTCATCCACAGCCGGTCCCACCTGTCATTTCCCACCCTGCCTCCTTCCTCCCCATGCTGGAACCTGGAACCCAAGCCCTCCATCACATCAGGGGAACCGCCGTGGGGCCTGGGTCACTTGTCACGTGCTGTGATCATTCCTTAGAGTGGACTCGCAGTGGGAGGGCATTTTCCACGTTCAGCAGATGGGAAGATTGGAAGTGGATGTACAAGTGGATGAGCATGTTCTCCCCCAGGTGGCTTGGGGTCCCCCAGAGTAGCCTGGGAGGTAGACATGGTATCTTTGTGCAGAATTACCATTAGAAACTCTGGTCATCCCTACCCGCGATGTAGTGGGACAGAGCCTCCTGGTCCATCCAGTTGATCATGTCGAAAGGTGGCTGGGTGGAGGCTCGTGCCACCCTGGGCCCTGCAGGCAGGCATTGGGAGCCAGAATGTGTCTGGCAGGTGAGGTGTGGATAGAGCCTGGGTCTTCTGTGCCCAGGGCACCACAGAAGGCACCTTTGCCCCACGCGGGCACCTTGCCCAGCCAGACAAGAAGGAAGCGCTTGGTTCATGGCCCAGATTGTGGCTGCCTGCACATCCAATGTGCACACTGGGTAACATCTTAAATTTACTTCCTGCAGCAAGACACTTTGCCCAGGAGGTGGCTGGAGCCGGGATGAGTAAACTGGCCACTTTCTGACTTCCTGGGCTCCCCGGGACCCAGGGCAGCTCTGCATTTGCCTCTGAGTCCACTTTGCTGTTGGAGTTCATCATCAGAAGATTACTCTGAACACTGTGTCCTCTGGGCCCTCTCCTGTGGGTATCTGAGGGCCTGGTGTCCATTGGCAGTGGTTCTAGAGTTGGCAGGTGGCACCTGAGTGTGGAGCTGTCGCATGGCCCGGGGCGTCCCCCTGCCTGTTTACATTTCCCTGTCAGGTTCCTGATAGGCAGTGTGGTTCGTCCCTCACACCTGTGACCTGTACATTCTGCTGTGAGTCTCGCTGTCTGCAGGTGACTCTCAGTGAAGTACCTGGAGGGAGAAAGTACCTGCCCTTTCTCCGTGGTGACTTCTCCTGACTGTTTACCTGCTCAGCATCACTGAACTCTCTTGATTCCTTGAATGCTTTATTCAATAAAAACTTACACTGCAGTGTACATGGCAGGATGGTTTTATTGATATACTTTGAAATGCACAGTTCCCATGCAATTGTGCATGTGGCCAAAGCAATTGCCCTCAAATCTTTTATTTTTGTTGTATGACAAGGCATCAATTTCATGCGTACTTTGAAGGCACTGTTAGAAAAAAATAAAAGCAAAATTGGATCAGTTAAGAGATATCTTTACCACAGTGACAGCAGGGTATAGGCCGCTCAGTTTCAGTTTGATTTTCGCAGACAGAAAAGTCACAGTTCTGGCTTCTCCACTTGTGGGGAGGGTGGTTGGCCACTGGCTTCAGTGACCCCCAGCTCCAACCTGCTTACCTGGGGATTTGAGAAAGTTTAGCCCTGATGGACCAACAGGACCTTCCTCGGGATGACAGAGTCCAGCCTGGGCTGAGGACCAAGACAAGGTTGAGGGAGAGAAAGCTACAGGCCATACTGACTGGCCACCAGTGTGTTCCCTGTTGTCCCCCAATTTGACACCCCAAAGCAGAATTGAGGCATTTGAGGGACCTTTGCAGTGTGGCCAAAGGCATGCAGATCCCCTCCAGCCACAAGTGAGGAAGGACTGGCTAGCCAGGCTCAGGTCACCCTCCAGAAATTGGAGGGGATGCAGGTGCAGCAAGAGATACCTGGGCTAGGTCTGTCTCAGGCTTGCAGTTGTATCCAGCCTCACCTCACACTGGTGGATGCCCTGACCATAGACCTTCCCCAGTGGCCACCTACAAGGGACGGACAGGAAGGCCCACATCCCTACCTTACCCAGACGGACAGTTGGAGCAGTGGAATCAGACTCCCAGGCCTACAGGGAAGGACACGAGATTGCCTCATTGAGACAGGGAGACCAGTGTGTCCAGGGCTTCCTTCCAGAGCACCTGGCTGGGAGTTAGGACCAAAGTGGAAAGGCCTGTTCCTTCAGGTGCCACCTGCTACCCTTCACGTGGCCAGGGCTGACCCTGAGCCCACAGGCAGTGCCATACTGCCCAAGTTTGGGGAGGGCAAGGCCATATGTTGGAGGCAAGCCAGCAGGAGCCTCAGCCTTGGCTGTGGCAGCCAAGCTCCTGGTCCAGCAAGGCCCCCTTGTCCAGGTCCTTAGAGTCTCTGGGATAGCTCTGTGCAAAGGGACAAAGGAGATGAGATGCCAGCAGGCTTGACAGCAAAGTGGCCCCGTCCGGCAGAGCCAGTGGGGCAGGAACGCCCCAAAAGAAGGAAGCTGGGCCTGAGGCAGCTGGGCTGCCAAGCCATGCAATCCCTGCCATTGGGAGCAGCAGCAGGTGGGGAAGGGAAGCCCCTGCCACCCTACACTTCACTACGCAGAAAGCTCCAAACCCTCTCTGCTCAGGGGCTCAGGAGAACTACCAGCACCTGGCCCCACAAAGACCCTCCATAGTCAAGCACAGCCCAGGGCACTACTGCCTCTCCAGAAGCCCCCCAGAAGGGTTTAGGGAGAAAGCCTTGCACCAGATCCCTTTAGAAAGAATTTAGGGTCCTCTGATTAGGGTTTGGCTGCTCCACAAGCCACCATCTTTGTTCTGCTGTATTCCTAGAAGAGCCTTGGCTGTACCCTGCTGGCTGCAGGCCTCAGCTTACCCAAATCAGAGGTCTGAGCCCTATAGCGAAGGGTAGACAAGGGCTCCTACCCCTGCTTGGCCTCAGAAGCCACAGGGAAACTTGTAGATAAACAGTTTTCTGGAATCCCCCTTGCCCAGGGGGAGTCACGCAAAGGGAAGAGAATTTAATGATGAAGGCAAGAGGGCCTTTTCCACTTTCAATAAAGCCACCGGCTTAATGCAAAAACAGCCAGGCCTGGAACCCTCTTGGGGCTTTAGGCTTTATATGCTCAGGGTCATGGCCAGGAAACGGCTTGTCCCTTGGGTGGGCTGGAAAAAACTGCTCCGGGGAAGTGGCTGAGCTGAGTGTTCTGGGAAAACAGAGTTGCTGGGGCCACAACCTTTTAGAGCTGACATCACCACGGGTCTGGGGCTCAGGTACAGAGGGCTGGGAGGAGCAGGCTGGGCCACCACAGCCGTCCCGCCCCAGTCTGGGTGCTAGCTGCCCTCTCGGAAGCTGTGGATCTGCGTGGAATACCGCTGCAGATGGCCCTGGGGCTGGGCCTCTGTGATCCCCAGCGGGCCCCCAGCCACGTGCTGCTGCTGCTGCTGCTGCTGCTGCTGCTGCTGCTGCTGGTAGTGCTGGTAAAGCTTGGGCCCCAGTGCAGGCTCTGGTCCCTCCAGGCCCGGGAGGCAGCTGCTGGACATGGTCAGGATGGTGGAGGTCAGCGACTTGATGTAGTTTTTGGCCAGTGTGAGCGTCTCAATCTTAGAGAGCTTCTTGTCAGCGCGCACGTGCGGAATGACCTCTCGCAGGGCCTGGAAGGCGTTGTTGAGCTTGTGCATGCGCTGCCGCTCCCTCTCGTTGCTCTCCAGCCGCCGCTGGATGCTGTTTTCACGCCGGCTGCCCGGTCCCTGTCTCTGGCGCCCGCCCTCAGCCCGTGTCCCTGACGCCCTGGATGTCCTGCTCCGCAGACCCTTGGCCAGCTCTGACCCACCTCCAGGCTGGGGCCTGTCGGGGGTCTGCTCCTCGGCAGGGGCCTCAGTGTGCTGCATTGGTGCCCGGCGCCGAGGGGGCCGGTTTTTGGTCTTCATGGTCAGGACTGCTTGTCCCAGGCGGCGGCTGCTGGCAGAGAGGCCCTCAGAACTGAAATCCAGAGCACAGGCCACTGTGGTCATTCAGCATGGCCAGTGCACACACAGGGCGGCTGTCCCAACAACTTCCTCCCCACTGCAGTGCATCAGTGGCCACCACACACCGAGCCCTGAGCTGGCTCATATGTCCCCCGACCCTGCCCGCTCTTGATCTCAGATCAGCCTCCAAACTCTCCCTGATCTCTCATCCCTTCTCCTCTCCCTTCCACGCAACCTGATGACCCTTTTCTCTTTTGTCTCGTGTTCCACACTGCCGTGTGAGTGCCTCTTGAGCATGGTGACCTGTGACACTTCGCTCAGACCACCCAGAGATGTGTCCCAGTTCTGGTGTAGGACGCCTGTCTGCCTTTGCCCCAGGGAGAGGCAGCCATTTCTCTTGCCCTGCTGGATGTGACAGGCTCTAGGACAATATTGGGACCAGAACCTCTGTGGACACGGGGCAGCCGTCACAAGTCAGAGGTGGACAGATTCCAGGGTCTTTGCGGGCAGCCCCCAACCCCACCACGTGGATGGCATCATGGGCAGGGAAGGACAACTCCCCCGTGGCCATGCCTGGGTTTTCTCCTAGTTGTCACCTGGTCCTGCCTCTGGGTCCCCCCCGGGAGCTCCACCCGGGTGCTCCAGGCCCCGTTACCTGGAGATCCGCGGTTGCACGCGCCGAGGCTGCCCACGGGGGACAAGGACACGTCGCTTTAGCCGCCCCGGGCGGGGCCGAGGACGCATGTAAATGAGCCCGCGGGGCGGGGCCGAGTGGGCAGCCACGCCTCCGCTCTCTGGACGCGGGGTCCTGCAGACCCGGCCAGAAGTGCGGGGTGCCGTGCGGGAGGGGGGGGCGCCGTTCTGAAGCTGGGGGG